TTAAACATTTCTATGGTTTCTCGTATTTTAAGCATTTTTATGGCTTCTGTATATTTTAAGCATTTCTATGGCTTCTCATATTTTAAGCATTTCTATGGCTTCTCATATTTTAAGCATTTTTATGGCTTCTTAAACTTATACATTTCTATGGCTTCTTATATTTTAAGCATTTCTATGGCTTCTCATATTTTAAGCATTTCTATGGCTTCTTAAATTTTAAACATTTCTGTGGCTTCTCATATTTTAAGCATTTCTATGGCTTCTTAAATTTTAAACATTTCTATGGTTTCTCGTATTTTAAGCATTTCTATGACTTCTAATTTTCACGTGATATCTTCATAACGAAAAAAGTTTCAGTTCAACCGCACATACTTGTAACACGCATTGGTTATAGTGTTTTCATCAAACTTAATTATTTGGATAATTAAGTTTAATACCTAATAATACCAAAAATTTGGTATTACCATTGGGATTCATTTTGGTTGATTAGAGAAGAGTTGGAACGATTACGTTTTATATAAATAGTTGAAATGACATAATATATACGTTTTCTTGTTATTTTTACCTATAATGTTAAAAAAAGGAACTTATTTGACAGTAAATTGTATACATGTCTGTTGTAAAAATTAGAAAAAAAATTTGTTGCAATTTAAAAAGACCCAGAACAGGGGGGTCGTGGCACAGTGTGAACGTAACATAGTTGGAACAAGTATAGATGACATCCGAGAGTGATTAAAATCACTAACATAAGAAACGCTTTGATACAAACCTGTAGATAGTGTTTAATTTTGAGAAATTGATGGATTATTTCAAAAACAAAATTAACTCCTATTTCCTTCATTATTCCTAATTAGTAATTTTATGATTAATAAGTATAATATATGAAAATATATCTATTATAGCAATTAAATATTGTATGAAATAGATATGTAATAATTTAATATTGTAATTTTTACAAAGAAATAATAAAAAATAATAAAGTAGTGTATTTTGTTACTTTTATGATAAATATGTATAAAAATTAATGTAATACTTTATAAAAATAATTTTTTTTTAAATACTTGTTTACGTATAAATAAATACATTAGTCTACAAGGAATTTTTATCAAACATCAAATATATATTTTTCTTAACCCATTTTTGCGCCGATTTCAAATCTGTAATTAGAGTTTCGCATATGGACTAAATAATAACAAAATCCTTCTAATTAATATAACAAATATGTATGTTTGATTATTGGGTTACGTATCCCAATCAATGAATATATTTTTATTAAAAAAATACCTAACAAGCAGAATGTAATATATGCAGTATATCAATATAAATAATTATTTAAATATGAAGAGTTATAGATATGACTAATAAGATTTCTATTTAAATGATTTATTACAAGAATTAAGTGTTATTGAGAAAAATAAATGGCAGATAAAAAAAGCCATTTAGTAAAATATTTTAATATGACTAAAAAATTGCTTCTCACGAGGGAAACTACCAGTGTTTTGTACGAGGCAGCTAGACTGTAGGACGGCTAGTTGTGCACCGCACTAGAATGCCGTTTTACCTTAAGCCTGTTTAAAAAACGTTAATTTTGATGTGAGTAGATCACCTAGGAGATGACGGCTAATTATACATCTAATAAGTAAACGAGAGTAGACAATAATTAAATAACAAATAATCACATATATTAGAAATTCCTCAGAGAGTATCTTAAATTTAAGGGGTAACGGGGAGCCATTAAATACTAGTGGCCGGCGAAGCGGCATAAAACAAAATAATTGATCTCAATTAAAACAAACAATAATTAACATTAAAAATAATATAAAACTCAGCTGTATAGATGACGCTGTTAATAGTGATGAGTGGACTGTATGAGATCTTGTGGTAATGGTGCCGAACTTCTGAGTATGACGAGTCAGTGTGTAATTCCAGGCACGTAATGGCAGATGAGAACAGACTACGGCAATGATAATGTTTAGTGATGGTCAGGGCCCAATCACTAGTGGCGTGCAAGGGCATGTAAACTTTGAGCACAAGAGTGCAATAAACAAATAAAAGAATGACGGCGTACAATGGCCGAACAATTTACTATTCAAGCGAAGGCGCTTGTAACAGAAAAAGAGTGACACAAAAACAATTGACTGACTGACTTACGACAAAAAACTGTACACGGATGACAATCGACACGGAGGTCATCGATTTGCCGTGATGGGTAGGCAAGGGGGTGAGTAAAGCAAGATGCTGGTGATCAGCTGTCCCACGAAATAATATAATCAATGTAACAACTGATCAACTAGATCCTTCTAAAGGCGTTCTGTATCATTCATACAGTGATGGGATAATTGAATTTGTTCAATCTAAATGAGATAAAAATCAAACGTACTTTGAATTTATTTCCACCTCAAAAAAGAATTCAGAAGAAGATGCAAAAAAAGTTGGTTTGATTGGCGGGCTTCGAAATTTGAACTAAAAACTATAAAACTTAATTTTTTTTGATTTGTTCATTTTTCAATAATATGGCAGTTTCAAGAAAAAAATTTCGAAATCTACCAATTTTAAAAATCGTAATTTTTTGAGGGATTTCCACCATTTACGAAGAACGAAAGGAAGATTTTCAATTTCTGAGGGTATTGTCTTCAAATAGATATGATTTGTAGTCTTATTGATGTATCGTTGAGAAAAATCAGTCTTGTGAGAGCTGATAAAAAGTGGCGACAAACATAAAAAAAAACACTTTGTAGTAAAATTAATACCTTCTCAGCTTCACATCGAAGCTAAAAGAATTATTTTAAATATAGCACATATTAATTATTTTACACATTTTATTGATAGAATCGCAATACTTAATATTTACTGTGACAATAGTAGATCGATAAAAACTTATCATTTTGTTGAACACGCTGTTAACTAATTTGGTCGAAGCTTTGAGTATTGTAATAATATATACTACATGAAATTCTTATTCGCAACAAAAGCAAACATTTAATTCAATTTCAAACAAATCAAATTTAAGTACAGTCAGATTGACTATAGATAATGAAGTATAAAATATTTTCTCGGATTCGCATCGAGGCTAAAATCACTTAATACAATTATAATACAATACATTTAAGAACTTGCAATACTTTTGAATCATTGTGGTTTTATGTGATAAATTGTATGTTGATAAATATTTTTCGTGTATCCATGACTTTCCGTAAGTATAATGTTTAAATTTAAAATGTTTATAACATAATGATACTGAAACTTCATTTATTGATTAATTCCCAAAGTTACCAGTTGGTTAGTGTGCACATGACAGGTCCATTTGCAATCTGAAGATCACTACTTTGCGACCGCCTTTATCCACACTGACTTGCGCACCAAAGCGGTTTATTATACGATATGTCAAAAGCACACAGACACTTGAAGTAAAACACACCCTTCTTACTTAACCCTCAAACTCGTTCTTTTTTTCGTATCATTTATAAATTGTTTTTTTAAAGACTTTAGTAACGTATAAATTTGATCACATAGAACATGAGACTTAAAGCTTTTAAAAAATGACATAAGTAGTTGATGAAAAGACTACTTACGAGCAACTCACTCGTAAATGTCAATAATACTTCAGTTTCTGTAAATTTATACAATTTTAAAAATAGTTATGGCTAAGATTTAAATGAATTGTTTATCAGCACTACATAATATATTTATCAATTGAAGTTTTTAAAACAAAGGTTATTTGATAACAATTCATAGAATTTATATTAGTGTTCGATTTAAGGACCATGCTGAAAAAAAGTTGGTATTTTTTTGAAACAAATGTAACAAAAGAAGAATAAGTCTACTTAACCATTATCAGATCTGATAAGTACTTACGTGTTCATAAAATGTTATACTTAAAAATATAAAAATTTTACATAACTTTGAATATTTCAGTTAGATCTATTAATAATATGCAATTTATGTAAAATAAAATAAATTCGTGTACATATAAAGAGATTTTGTTAATAATTTCTAAATGTAAAAAATAAAGACTTAATGAAATAATACACACAATAACCCAATAATGTCCTTTTAATTTATAGTACTAGTTTTGAATTCATAAAATAAATATTTAAACATTTATTTTATAGATCTATAATAATTTTATTAAATTTTTATAATTAAATTATTTTGATAAAATTTATCAAATAAAACTATTTCAAAATATAACCCAACTAATTAAAGTGATCGTCAAGGTATTAGGTTAGTTAAAATCAATATTTCTTAAAACTATAAAAATTACTGGGTTATTTTTTAAATGATGACAACGATTTGTTGTTAATGTATGATATTTATTAGATTAAATTTATTTGTGATATTATTTTTCGACTATTAAAAAACATAAAATAATAATAGTAATCCACTTTATTATTTGATTACAAATTTATAATATTTTTGTTTAATATAAATATGAAATCTTAAAATTATTCAAATATGCAATGGTATATTTTTAATTAATTTTATATTTTATGATCAAACTAACCCCATATAAATTTCATAGACATTCACTGGAGTAAATATGGCAATGATTTAATTTTTTTTATTGAGAAGCGAAAAATTTCCTTATAAATATCGTCCCTCAAGACGAAACTCTAATTACGCCATTTTAAACATTACTGAGAATGTCTTAGATCATTTTGGCTCGCTTTTTTCTATATAAAATTTACTAAAATAATTACAATAAACTGATTAATGTAATTAATGTAATAATGTTGTTTCATAAATAATTATTACTCTTGCTGCTTTTTCCGTATAAACATTAACCACGTTAACTTATATTATAAGAATAAAATTTATACTCAAAGCTTGCGAATATTAAAAACTATAGAAACGACTTCTCTCTAGCAGATTGTATAATATATGACAAGGAGGGTTGGTCGGCCATTTTATTGGGCACATACTTGTGTAGACTCCTCCTTCGTAGCGCAAACCCTTGACGAAGGGATGAAATCGATTAAAATGGAGCGGATTTGTAAATATTCCGGCAGTCAATTGATCACTTCCTACCGAAAAACACTTACTTTAGAATCAAACTTTGATTTGTATTATTTTTCATTTCAATAAATGTGTTGGGATTTTTAAAAATATCTTTTAAAAATCCCATAATAATATTATTATATCAATAATATTATGAACCACCCTATGGCTCCGTCATCAGACATGCATAACGTTTATAATTTTCATAATCATCATCATCACCATCACAGTCAACATCCTCAACAGTCACCAGATTTACTGAGAAGTGGGAGCCATGTTATTACTACTAAAGCCGATTCTTCATCGTCTTCTCCATCAACATGTTACAAGTAAAACTAATACCGTTAAATAGACAAACTCAGAGCAGTTAAATATTTTACACGAGACATCACTTAATTTTTGGTGAACAAAAATTTCGTGTTCTTGACAATACTTGTAAACATTTTACTAGTGCTATAGATTGATACGATTAAAATGATAATAGATATTTAACTGTCCAAAGTTTAACCATCGCCCCAAGTTAGTCCATTTACTAGTACCAAATATAAAAATGAAAATAATTGTCACAAGTTATTGTAAAAATTCTCTTGTTTCTTAAAATGCTTATCAAAGGTTTTATCAAAAATACATTTTCTAATTAATATTAATATTGTGAGAATATTTAAGTGTTATACTATAGTTTCTAAAAATTACAAATTTTTACGAAAATAAATTTCATTGAAACAACTGTTTTGCTTATGTCTCATTAAAAAAATTTTCTTTTTTCTAAAACAAAACAAAAAAATGGTATAAAATTTCATTATTTGACAAGAAATTCTAATTTTATTTTTATCGGTACGTCTAAAAATACTTCAGCTATTTTACACTGAATACTAAAATTAAATTAATAAAATTGTCTATTTAAATTATTTACTTAAACTTCGACTTTATCATATTTAGTAATTATTTTAATTCCCAATTTTCTTCCGACTCTTGAAAAATATGAATTTAATCATTACAAATCTCTTACTAATATTTCAATAATAAACTTCTAAAGGGAGCTTGAAAAACTATTTAAAAGGTCATATTGACAGTATTTTTTAATTGTTTAAGTTCACTCAAGTTTATTTAAACGGAAACAAACTACATAAAAAGTTACTCAAGTTGTTTATTCATTTAATGTCGTATTTGATAATTTTTAAGTGGTGTGTTTAATCAATTGATAATACTTGAGTGTTTTTACATGGTTATATATGCAAATTTACTTTGAACTGAAAATTATTTTAACATGTAGAAAAGAATACTACTATGATCAATTTCACTAAAATAGATTCATCATATTTTAAAATCAGGAATTACATTAAGTGTATTATGAAAATCAGCTCACACTGATTGCTCAACTTTTACTCATTTTTACAAAACAATTTTTTAACATTAGCAAAACGTCTAGTTTTTCTCAAGACTTCATGATGGGATCAGATACTTGCCAAGCACAGCTGCAACATGATGATGACAGTTGTAGTGATGTTGAAGATTCCACAACTTCTAGCTGCACTTACAGGGCTGTTCATCATGGAGCGTCCCCACATTCGTCGTGTTTTATAGTTTCTCCTTTACGTCAAGGTATTGCATTTATTATTTTTGATATTTTTAGTATTCAAAATGCATTAAAGAGTTTAACAAAATTCATATTTATATTATTTTGGCTAATTAAACATTGTTATTTTTGTAATCTCTCAACACATTTTTCATTTAATCTAGTTTCAGCTATAGTTTTATTCTATAAAATAATTATAATCCAAAATCGAACATATTTTTAACGTGTACAGAGTGATTCATAACGGTAAGAGCACTCATTGTTTTGGAAAATAATGAACATTTTTAATTTTCGTAAAGGAAAAAATTGTTTGATTTATTATTCTCTACAAACGTTTGTAGTTAAATAATCTTTGTTCATTCCTTCGGGAACAGATACCCAAGCCTATTTATTTATTTTAATGAAAACCTGTATTTTTAATTTGATGATATGAAAGAAAAAAATTTTCAAACATGGGCATTGGTCTATACGTTAAAGATTTTATTATATACCCACTCTATGCATAAAAATGCTGTAACGAATGAACGATTTATGAGATAAAAAAATGCATGACGTTAGGAGACGAGAAGTTGACTGAATAGAAATATTTACAAACTACTATCAATTAAAAATCAATTGCAACAATAAGATAAAACATATAAAACCAGAACAAATGTATTAGTTTTGAAAGAAGAAAATTAATTTAATATCACTCATTACTAATGTTACCATAGCGCAAAGACAATTGAATAACATATAAACAAAAAAATTCATTAAATACATGCCGCAAAAAATGTCATTAAGAACCGTATCTTAAATACTCAGACATTAAAATGTTAAAAATAACGTATATTATCTGAACCATTAAAATTGATTTTAGTTGTTTACCATTTAGAACAATTCTAGGGAATACATCGAATGAATTTTAAAGTTTAATTTTTAAGATCCGTCCTAATATACATAATAAATGATAAATGCACAAATTTTTATTTCGAACTTACATTTAATATGTTATTAACGCATATAAGGACCAGAATTTTTCAATAAGATGTACTAAATATTCTAAAAGAAAAAATTAATTTACATTTACCTAATTTGTTTATATTTATCGCATTTCAATAATAATAATTATTATTTGTTTTTTGTACAATTATTTATAATAATAATAGAGAAATATTCATTTTATGTCTTTTCAAAAGATATCAAATTTTACTCTAAAAATAAATAATGTATAATTAACATTTGAATGAATGGTTTTATTTATTTTTATTGTAAAAATGTATGTTGATTAGTCATTTATCTAATGAAATAAAAGTAGAATAATTAACATTTTTTCTATCATTTGATTAACAAAACAAATAATATTATAGTCATTTTGTAAAGTTAAAAAGTGTACTGTATTTTATAGGTGACTCGTCTATGTTATCGACTACATCAATGACACGATACAATATGACAGATGGAAACTTCTATGGTGGTGGTAGTCATGGGAATGGGCATCTTCCCCAAAGTCTTGATGTTCATGGAGGAACTAGTAGTGGTTTCAGAGTACAAAGACAAACAGCTAATATTCGAGAACGAAGACGTATGTTAAGGTCAGATTTGGCACCTACTCGATCTGCGGATAGACCCACACCGGTTAAAATGTAAGACCCTTAAACAGTTTTAATGTTTGCTATAAGGTTAGCTTTCAAAATATCTTGTTTACTGTCACAAGTCTTATAAAAATAAAAAGCGCTAAGTTATAAATGGTTTTCGTAATTTTTACTATATGAATTAACTGATTTATTTTAATTAGATGTCTGTTTAATATATTTTACTTCGATTAATTGCACACGTTCTTAGGAGTTGAATACATAGATTATTTTTATCTTAATATTTTATGATAAAGATAAATACTCAATATTCAGTACTATTAAACATTTGATTTGAAAAACTATGTATAAATTAAAAGGGTTTTGAATTTGAAAGCACATATATTATATTCTTAGGGATAGTCGTTATATTTGTTTATATTTTAATAGCGTACCATAGTAAGCTAAAGCAATCAAAATATTCTATTTTATTTTTTATAATAAATTGTTTGAAAATCTAACAGAATTCATTACTATTTTATGTTTTTTTTTTAATAATTTAGTGATACGTTAGATAATAAATTTAATGTGTGATATCAAAATATAGGCATAAAATAAAAAAATGATCACTTGTGGCTAATATTATTTAAAATTAAAATTATATTAAAAATATCATTAATGTAAAACTAAAAAATATTAAACTCAAAAAATCACAAAAAAATGACTATAAAATCGCGGATACGTATTTGAGAAACAATGTTATCACTATCAACTTTTTGAGTTCAATACTTTATAATTTTAAATTAATAATATTTTTAATATAGTTTTTATTGAAAAACATTGAACCATTTGTTTAGTTATTAAGAGTTGAGGTTCAAAGTTAAGATAATTAACTTTAAGTTAGGAATTTTATTTAAGTAATGTGTTATAATAAATCATTGATGTTTAGCAGCATCAACTCGGCATTTGATGAGCTTCGTGGCCATGTTCCTACATTTCCATATGAGAAACGGCTGAGCAAAATAGATACACTTCGACTAGCAATAGCATATATAGCTCTATTGCGTGAAGTACTATCAGCCGATTGTGACCCTTTGACTTATGTTCAACGGTGTTTGAGTGGCGAACGGCAACCTGAGAGGGCTGAATGGAACACTAGTGGTAAGATTCGTTGTTAATATTATTTAGAAAGTAATAAGATACCTTAATAAATTTCAAATATTGAGTACGATTAATTGATTAATTATAGATTTGACAGCAAGATTATCATGGATTAATTGGGAGAATTTAGGAGTTAATCCTAACCGACGAGGAGCTTTATCTTCCTATTCTATGCCAGACAATGTTAATTGAACAGCAAAAGAAAAATTGTACGCTACATAAAACTATACATTTATTATTGTGTATTGGTAATTATCGGGACAAAAATGTGCAATAAAATCTATAAGAAATTAATTTAACGACTAATAGTTTACATTTATTTAACAACCGTTACGGATAAAAAATTTAAGTCTTCATGTGTTCCTTAAAATTGTTGTATATTTGTAACACATACTAATCCAACGAAAGTGTATTAGCACGTGTTTGCTTTTAAGGCTGTAGTTATATTGAACAATGAAAACAATAACGTAAAGGTACTATACCAATAAAATATACTTGTAATAAACATTGTTGTATTACCAAATAATTATTATAATAAAAATACTAATTAATAGTCAAATTGTTAAAAATCGTAATGCTTATTACATTAACCGTACAATGCTTAATTTATGATCTGATAAGGATATATACATGTACAAACTGAACTTAAAGGATTACGTAGTATTTATATTCTCAGTGTTAATTTGAATAATACAAATTCAATGAAAACGCATTTCTCATCGTTATTTATAATTATTGTACATAAATGATTTGGTAATTATTTCATGTCTAAGTATAATATTATTATTTTTTCATTTTAAACGAAATTAAAGCCAATAGACATAAACACCTTACAAAAGTTCAATATTAATTTATTAGTTGTTTTTTACATTTTAAACAGTAATTTATTTAAGTGTTGACTGCAGTTAAAGAGTTACAAAAATTAAATTTTAAAAATAGTACCTATATATTTTATTACAAATATTATAAGTGGGGGACGTCCAAATAATTATGTCAATATATTGTTTTTTTTTTTGTAGAAAAATTTTATTTTTATTAATCTAGTTATATGATTCTTATTATCTAGATAGTTAACAAAAGCCTGTTAACATAACAACAATCGTAGAAGATCATTTATACATTAAATTTTTTTTTAATTTTATTTAATTAGAATACACTTTTTATTTTATTTTATTATAGAAACGTTTTTGCATAAATTAATTCATAATTATGTTTCCAAAAAAAATTTAGTGTAAAAATTGTAGGATAATTAACATTTCTTGAATTGATCCTTAAAAAAGTAGATATAACATTAATCGTAGAATGGTACTTTAGGAATAGAAATGAAATATACACCAACAGCACTAAAAAAATCAAAAAATTATAAGTATAAACTCTATGAAAATAAACAATATTAACTTACTCCAAAGGAACATGTTCACCAAAGACAATTGTGTGGCTTACCGACCTTGATGTAGAGTCACAGGTTAGACTTATAGCGTTATTATTGTCTCCATTAATAACAAACAAATTTTTTTTGTCCTTTACTATATCTTTAATTTCATAACAAGACTTTGCTAGTATCCGCTTATTGTTGATGGATTCAGCATAATAAAAAACGGCAGAAAGATGAGAACATCCTAAAGCCATTTTTTGATCAACGCCTATTAAACAGAATATAATGTAAATTGCCAAAAAATAATCTTATATTAATTGCGTACACAGTAGAATTTAAGTTTTCTCAAAAATGTAAGTTTAAATAAAATGTTATTGTTTTTTTTATTATTCATAGGAAATATTAAGTTGAAGGTGAAAAAAATATTATTTTGAGGGATAATTTACGAAATTTACACAAAACTCTAATTAAATTTTAAAATGCTAAGATTACAAAAAATATTAATTTGAACCTTGTTAATACCCCGTCATTGTGATTTTTAGTTAATTACATATCCCTATTTATAAAAAATAAATAAAGAATAATATTTTAAAAGTTACGTCACAAAAATACCTCCAAAAAATTATAAATATAAAAATAAAATATTATACAATTTTTGTCAGATAGTAATTAATTGATTACAAAATAGGAGATAGTATCCTGAATAAGTCATTTAATATATATATATCTAAATGTTTATACCAATATTTCTTCATTTTTTTTTTGTCAAAAGTTTTTAAGTAAGAGACTGGAAATAGACCTATCAAATGAGCAGCTTATGGTGGTGTGTTACATTTGGGACAGTTAAAATTTTACAGATTTCAAGACTTAATTTATGAGAACAAAATAAACATTTTGTGTTACTAACAATATTTTTAAAAATTTTACTAGTGCTGTAGACTGAAATGTCTAAAATGATAATGAATATTTATCTGCCCCAAATTTGCCCATTTAACATTATGTTTTGAAAAGGAACGCTTTATTATTGAGTGCAAATTTATTATCTATTATCATTAAATTTTTTGCTTTATTTTATCTTATTAACTAATTGTCAAATAATATAAATATTTATGTAGTTAGTTTATTACTTCCTAGACAGCCAGTTTGAACTACGCCATTATTGATGTAATAATCGACTGTTCCTAAAGGTGCAGTGTATCCCAAAATACCGACATTTGTGTGCACTACGTCTACAAAACGAGCAATAGGCGTATTTGGTTTACTTGAACTTTCAAACCACGGCCCTGCTGGATCTAACGCTATAAGGGATTTAAAAATAAAACATGTAAAATCAGAGTTTCTTAATGTTAAAATTAACAAAATTATTTTTTGGTGTGAAACAGTCTTGAGATTTACCAGTTATTCGACTCAATAGACGTCCAGTCGACTGACTATAGAATTTTCCTACTTGAAAAGCTATATGTGCACCTAGACTATGACCAATCAAATGTATATCTGATAAATCGGATCTGACTTTTCTTATCATTTCAATGAAGTTGGTAATTTGTTTGGCCACTTTTGGCAAATCACATTGTACAGATTTAATATATCCCATAGGTAATTGGCCATAGTTTGTTTGAGAAATGTTGCCAGTAACACTTGAATAATCCACTAGAATGATGTTTTGATCAGCCGTTCCATTTAAATAAGCTGATAATAATAAAAGCTTTGTTAAAATCATTTAAAATTTTTTTACATGTTCACTAAAATTTTTTTTGAAATCTTTGTTTTACGTAATTCAATATTTAATATTTTCATTGCTGACATCTTATTCTCAACTCAAACGTGACATCAAGAAGCAAAATGTTGTTAATTGTTTACCAATTATACGAACCATTACGAAATATGGTAATGTAGTTGTCATCATAATGGGCAGTATATCCATGAATAAAGATAGAAACTCTATTGTTGTTTACAAACGGTAATCGTTGAACGTATTCTTCTTCCATTGTAACGTTGGTCATTTTATTTCTATGACAAAATTATAAATAGTATAATAAGTTCAAAAAAAAAAAAAAAAAAAACCTTACTTTGTGTATAAATAAAACCTCATTCCATCAGTTATTGTCGGTTTTAAAAGACATATGGTATTACTTGAACTTATAGTTATTGTAATAGATAATAACAGAGGTATTATAACCTTTAAGATGAAATTACCCAAAGCCATTTTTATCAAAATAAAATGGAACTTTGAGACTGTTCTGAATATTGATATTAAAAAACTGAAGTAATATTGTTCATCAATTTATTCATACAAATGTTTTTTATAGTTTTATTTAAAAATCCTTTCTACTTTATTTCAATTCATTGTATTTTTTTATGCTGGTTTATGTCGATAATGTCATGTAGTATTCGCAATATAATTTATAAACAGGATGTCCGGCCGTTTCGGTTCAAAAAACTGACTCAGTTATTTTTAATTGACAAACAAATTACAGTAAAAACTATATTATAATTCAGACTTAAATTTTTTTGATTTTCTACAGTATATTGAAGTCTCAGAAATTCAAGTGTGACATAAAACGATTAACCTTGCTAAATAAAGAAATATTATCATACTTGTGAACGACAAATAGCTATTCTTTTAACACAGTGTGTAGAACTGTTATTGTTATAAAATTTCTAAAAAAATTAATATGATTGTAATAGTTTAGAAATCTATATAAAATAAGAGACCCTTCATAAACCAAAATACATTAACACAAGCTTTTGATACAATATTCAATTTGTTTATTTTATAAGTTGTATCAAGAAATATTATAGATTTAAAAATAAAAATCGTTTGCTTTATTTTTTCAAACGGCAATATAGATAATTAAACTCGTTTATTTAATAGATAATTAACTTATTATCATTTTAAATAAGAGAGTGATTTTTTATCATAACTCACTCAATTACTTATAGAAAAATATAATTTTAACAATTTTTTATCTTTAGTTACATATTATTCTTAAGTTATTAGTGATGTAAAATTTTTTAAGTTCATTCCTTATACTTAAGAATAGCACTTTTAACTTAATTAAAAATAATCATCGAATTTTTATAAATAAATATTTTTAAGAATAATATTTAACTAACTACTTTTTGTCTAGAGAATAATGCATGATTGATATATATATATATTTTATGACTAATTTTACTATAGTTGATATTTTAAGGTGAGTAATTAGGCACCGTTGAATAGGGTATGTAATAAATACCAGAAGCACTGAAAAATAATAAAAAATAATAATAAAATTGGTGTTTGATCACAATTTAACAAGAGTAAATTTATTAATGACGTACTTTAAAGGAACGTGTTCTCCAAAAATAATAGAACTCTTATTAGAACTTGTATTTGATGAACAAGAAGTATTTAAAACTTCATTTAAATTAGAAGCATTCATTTTTAAGTTGTAATTTTTTATTAGATTATCAAAGTCATTACAAGGTATTCCAATTATTCTCTTGTTATTAACTGATTCAGCAAAATAATTAATCGCAGCCATGTGAGAACAAATTATTAATTCATCCAAACCTAAAACAAAATTATTCTAGGTTTATAATTTTTATTTTATTTCCAAAAGCAGTAAATTATTCTTGCACTAAATATTGTAATGAATATAAAAAATTGCATATCACATTTATAATATTAGTATTGGTATTTTTGGAAACAATACATAGAAAATTAAAATATTGAAAATAAATATAGGGTTATTCTCTATTTGTTTCTTATAAATCACTTACTTAACTATTCAAAAAATAAACACAGTAAGTTTTTTAAAAAAATATTTGTTTTTAGTGACATATATTTCTTGATTGTTTAATTATTAATTACTTTTCAATATAATGATTTATAAGAAAAATAGGTATCAACTTTAATTTTTCAAATGACATCGAACATATTAAACTGGGTTATAAAATAGGAAATGATCTCATTGGGAAAATTAAGGGTTGATAACAATCTTTAGACTAGTATTTCAAAAGTTTAAATTTTTATACTCTAATGTGAGATGGAGTGTGGTCAGGCTATTTCTAGTGATATTAATAGTTATTCCCACGCCTCTTTCTCAATCTATATTTTAAAATCATCCTAACTACTGAAGTAAAGATCCAAAAGTTGTTTTCGACGTTTCATTTTCATAAATAGATTTTTAATATATTATAAGCCAAATATCGATTGGGTCTTTTCGGATACCGGGTGTCATTTTATTTAATTATTTTTAAGTAATTAAAATAGAATGTTTAGGAAAAGGTAAAAGATANAAATATTTGGGAAAAGGTAAAAGATAAGATAAGGTACGAACATATATGAGATGTTGTGTCAATTGTGGATAAGAGAAGAGAAAATAGACTTAGATGGTTCGGTCATGTTATGAAGAGAGAGGAATCAGAAGCTGTAAGAATAGTTATGAAAATAAATGTTGAAGAAAGAAAAGGTAAAGAAAGACCAAAAAAGAGATGGAAGGTTTTTATTGAATTCAATATGTAGATAGCTGATGCGTGCGTAGATAATGTGGGAAATTGTGTTGGGTGAAGGTTTAGGAGGCGAGGTAAAAGAAGAAGAAGTAATGAACTGTGTTTTTATTAATTATTTTTATTTTATTATAAATTAACTTAATTTGATTTATGTGTGGAGAGCACGTGTTTCCTTTTCTCTATAGCCAACGAATTGAGTGTACAGACCGCTCCTGGCATTTTTCATTAATTTCCAATTAACATTCATAAATGTGTTCAAATATTGTCTGTGATGTTAGTTATATTATTTGATTTATTTTTAAATATTTTATTTTCAGCCTTTCTTTTGTAGACATGGTTTTTGATATATTCATATTTTTGTCCATGTGTTTTATAATTTTCATTTTTCAACAATTAAATTAAATCAAATTATTTTCTTATTAACCTGAGCTGTGAAATTTCTATTTAGTACGTGAGGTACTATATATTATATATATATTTACGTATATTTCAGAATCTCAGAAAAAATAATTAAACTTCATATTAAAATTCAAGTATAATATTTAAATTGTATAATTATATTAAATAATAAAAAAAATGAGAAAAAAACACTTTGTTCCGTGGAATTTGAGTTTGTGACACCAAGCACTTTGTACGTTTTACCAACCTAGTAAGTTTAATATTGAAAAATCAGCAGTAAAATTAATTTTTACTAAAATTTATAGTACGGTATAAATTTACTGGTATCGCCGGTAAAGCGATTTTAATCTCTATCACGTAAATCAATACCAATCTAAAATAATGTCTTATCTTCACTGAGATAGACCCGACTTTACTTTTTTTATTTTGCTGTTGACTATATTTATATATTCAATGAAAAAAGCATAACATTTCTTTCATACTTCCATTGCATCCAATTTGAGTCAACCCACTGTTAAAATAAAAATCCACATTTCCTAAGGGTTCGACATAACCTAGAACTCCAATATTTGTGTGCACGACATCCACGAACCTTGCTACTCCAATATGTACTCTTGAAGAGGAATAAAACAATGGTCCCGCTGGGTCTAAGGCTGAAAATAATATAAATCCGTTTATAATACATACTATAAGATGATTTCTTATAATATTTCCTGGACTATGCCTCACGAAACATGTCCAAAAATATTAGAGTTAATCATTAATTAATTTTTTTTAACAATGGTTCTTTGTTGAACATCTTTATACAAAAAAATAATTTTCTGTTACCATCACTTTTATCAAAAATTTGTTCTCCAACGTTCAATTTTCAAATGGCAACTCCATTTTTTATATTAACGTATTTATTAAAAAAAAAAAATAAATAAATAATTTTTTTTGTTTAAAACCTTTTTATATCACTCGATGTTCAACAAGTTGCAATTATTTAAAGTTTAAAGGCCACCAGAAAAAAAGTGTACTTATTTTTAAAATAAGTTTGACATCTTTATTGAGTCGTAAATTGATAAGTGCTGCCCCCCGTTTTATAACACAATGGAGTGTACAGTTTGTGACGGAGTTGATTGCGCCGCCGTGTTTCCCGTTGATCGTCGTCCATTTCAGTCACCGACACCGTCCAATATCGCTGCCGGTTCTGGGCACTCGTCTGTTAACGACACATCGCCGCCGCTCTCGGCAGTCACATCACCATTGACGATCACCTACACTGCCGTTGTGAAGTCGAAGTCACCGCAGTAGTCGAGAAAGTTGTCATCATCAGACATTCTCTCGACCCCACTGACCCACGTAGGTGAGTCGAGGTGTTACGCTCACACGTACGTGTGTTGCGGCATGTCCACGATGAGTCCCTTGTTCGCATATGTGAGTTGTGATAAATAGGATGGTGCTCAAATGAGTAACAATCAGGGGAACGTCGTCCCGCATCATACTCATTGTCATGGAGTACGTATGTTATCATGTGAATATTCGTATATGTGTAAATAGTATTTTTGTAAATATTTTTTACTGTTGTATTTAATTTGAAAAGATGCTCGTGCATTTGCAATATTCAATATAAATAAAGTTAACCACATCAAGTTAATCGTATTTTCACGGATCGATAGTGTTTATATGGTAAAGATTTTTAAAATTGAACATTATAACAAGATTCTATAAACTACTTTTTTTTTTATTTTAATAAATTCAATGGTATAAAAAACTTGTGATTGCCATATGAAAATTTAGAGATGGGGTACGAATTTAGGAAACAAGGGGTGGTATCAGAAAATTAATTTTTCGTATAAAGCAGCTCAACAAAGAACCATTATTATTTAAAAAAATTAATTAATGATCAACTCTAATATTTCAAACATATTTCGTGAAGGGAAATTGAGGAATTATACAGTATGAAATAAGATATTATAAATTTTTAAAATCAAAAAATTTAATATATTAAGATTTATAGCTTTAACAAACAAATTTTCGGAACATTACCTGTTACTCGATCGACTAAACGGCCAGTTATTTGCCCGTGTAATTTAGCTACATGGCCTACGATGTGAGCCCCTAGGCTATGTCCGATCAAATGTATGTGTTTTATTTTTGGTTTCAATTTGACTAATTGAGCTAAAAATGTTGCTATTTGTTCTGCCACTTTTGGCGAGTCACAATACACAGATGTTGGATACTGTAATCCTGATTTAATTTCCGATAAATATATTTTACCAGTTACTCGAGAATAATCAACACCTATGATATTACGATCCATCGTTCTGTTTAAATAAGCTGCAAAATAAATAAGTAACATTAAAAAATATTCAACAATTTATATTTAAATAGAAAAGAAAAAGTCATGTTTTTATGGAACCTTTTGGTATGGGGATTATAAATCTGTCGTTGTAATGACATCCAAAGCCATGTACATATACAATGAGTTCATTACTATTTGAAAAATGGGTTCGGTCAATGGACATTTGGTCACTTGTTATCTTGGTTATATTTTTTCTAAAATATTTTATTAAATTAATATTTACTTTAAAACAATAAAACTATAGAGGGTGCAGTAGAAAACGTTAGTAGCCCATTTTTCGAATTTGATCTTACGATTAGATTCGATATTAGTGTATTGAGTAATAACGTACATTAGATAAAAATGAATACATTTTGTTTATTTTGTTTACAATGTGTCTATTTTTAATTATTAAAAGATTGGAATGTATAAATTTGTTTTTGTTATCCTGAAGAACCTTATTCTCTATGATCAAATGTTACATAGAGAATAAGGTGTTCAAGGAATATTTCAAGTTTTGAACCTTTTATATAAGAGGAAATGATCCAATTTAAAAAAGAAGTATGTCGAATATAAGGAATATGTGTAAAATACTTATAAAAAAATAGTATTGATACATTTATTATTTAAAACTTATAGTAATTTAAAGTCGACAACCTAAAATATATTTTCGCGAATTTTTGACACAAACATAACATGTTTTTTGAGTACGACGGCACTTTGTACATAGCAGATACCTAATGAAAGGGAAATATCTTATGATATTAATAAAAAAAAATTTGATTCATAAACAGTTACGACAAATTTAAGTAAAAATAATAACATGAAAAATGATGACTTTTTTATACAAATAGCATTTTTTAATTTACCTCAGGAGCCATTTGTATTTAGAATATAAGATGTCTCGACAAAATTTTTCTTTAACATTTAGTAAATGATATAAGCTTAATTTTGCATACAAAAAGTTGCTATTTTGAGTCAGATTTACAAACAAATTTATACCTATTAAAATCGAAATGCCTAAGGTATTTATAAAAAAAAAAATTGTTTTTATTCATTCATTTTTCAATAAGTTATGACAGTGAAAAAATTTAAAAAATGTCGAACATTACCGATTTTAAAAGAAGTAATTTTCTGAAGGATTTCGCCCATTAACAGGAAACGAAGATATTTTTAAAGTTTTAAAGTCGTTAACTAGACACGACATTTGTTCTTTTGACATATCGTTCATCAATATCAACTTTATGAGAACTGAGAAAAAATGGCGACAGACATAAAAAAATTAAAAATAAACATATACACTAAAAATACTTTCTTAGCTTCACATTGAAGTTAAAATATTCTTTTAACGTAGTTAAAAACTGTAAATAATGATTTAAAAAAGAACACAAAATATTTAGTAAATCAAAAGTTATTGGATTTGTCAAAACATCGAGGACCATTCTATATATTTTCAAATTACCAAAACTTCTAAAGTAATGGTTCTACAGTTATTACCGACTAATCATTTTTATAATTAGATGATTTCCTTTTAATAAACATTTCAATTACGCCATTATAAAAAATTAGCTGACACCCTAATAAATTATAAGCGTGTTAAAGCTTTCACGGATTGTCTTGTTGCTTGAAGTGCTTGAGGATATATCCATGTGTTCAGTTGGTTTCTGACGTTTCGGACTCATTGCAGAGTATAGTTATTGAGTATAGTTGCAGCCACCGACTAGCAATCAAAACTCTGAAGATGAACTCTGCAATGAGTCCGAAACGTCAGAAACCAACTGAAAACATGGATATATCCTCAAGCACTTCAAGCAAAAATTATTAGCGATTATGCTAAAAATTAATTAATTGCTAATAAATTGAAAAAGAAAAAAAATATATATATATAAATAAATCAAAAACTTTTTCTTAAATATTTCATTTATTTTGCGAATAATTTAGTGTTTTATGATAAATTATTCACCCTATTTACAAAAATTTCCTATGTTTATCAGCTGTTTCACGGCAAATTTCAATTTTATACATCTTTAAAATCAAATATGTTGCTACTTCAGTTAGATATTTATTATTTGTAATGTTCATTGTTGGTTATATCGTTTTAAAAATTGTAATAGAACACCTTATTAAGTCGGTTTATTCGTTTTTTATAAATATAAAATTTTCTCTCGTCTTACTTGGTGAATAAATAGTATTCAATTCCATCTAATAGCGTTTCTCTCAAAAGACAAAACGTGTTGGCTAAAAGATCGCTTTTGACTCGTAAAAATAAAACTAATGAATTAAATAAAATAATTGTAAACAAATGCATATTGAATAATGTTAAAATGACGAATAATAGAATGATAAATATGTAAAAACGAGCTAAATGACAATTTATGAAATAATTCATCAAGACTACTTTTTCATAGTACTATTTTCTATAAATATAGAATGTAACAATATAATGATTTTATGCAATTAGTACTGCATAAAATTCTGGCCTTGACATAAATTAAAAGCAGAATTAAAATTGTATAACATATCGTGTAAAAAACATTTACATATGGTGGATGCTTATTATGATGTACCAATTAGAAAACATTATTATTGCATGAAATAAATAACGTGATTTTTTAATTTACACATTTTAAAAGTTCATCAAAACAAATAAAAATATTGTTTAGGTTAAATTAAACTAAATTGCAAATTTTTATTTAGTGAAAATTCAGTATTTCGTAATCTATTTACATTTTATACGTAGGCGGGAAATTAATAGTGATAAAAACAAGAACACCCACGCCTTATGTCTAGTCATTTCTATAAAATGTTAATAACATTTTAATAATGATCCAAAAGCTGTTATCGACCACTCATTGCCTTAATTAGACCATTTTTTATTTTATAAGATAGTTAATCGTGTATATTTTCATATCAAAGATAAATATAATAACCTTATAAGTTTTAAAAGATGAACATAAAAAATACTTTATGATTAATTAATTAAGAAAAACATGTCCTTTAAAATAACTAAAAAAAAAAAAATATTTACAATATTATTTTTTTTACAATTAATTAAGTGTTTTATGATAAATGAACTTTATATGAGACAAGGGCTGGACTTAAATAATACTTAAACATTTATAATTCAATAAATAAATTTTTATAATATTTAGATATAATTTTAGAAATAAATTTATTAGATCAAATTAAATGATCAAGTATAAATCAATCATTCTATAAATATTTCTCTAAGACCAAGTGCTGTTAAAAATTTAATGATTTAATGATTTATTTGTTATCAATCATCAAGGATTAATCTTACTGAACTATTATCGAATTGCGTATATTGATTAAGTAAATGTTTATTAATTTGGATCATTAATTTTAAATGCAACATTCTTTTTATTTTTTTAAGTCAAAGACAAATTATTAGTTGTAATATAAGTTGTAATTACAAATTATAAATTACAAGTGAACTACCTAAGTATCATACCTATAAGTAACCTATATATTTTAATTAAAAAATTGGAATAAAACTTTATTTATCAGAACCACTCTTAGTATTTATTTTAAATCTTCTCAAACCGAAAAAAGAGAAAGATTACAACATATTTATATAGGAACCATTAGGCTCAGGTCATTCTAAATTAATAATAAATGTAATTGAAGAAACAGTTGATTCTAACTGGGACACTAACTACTTCAGTTGTATCATGTAAAACATTTTTTTAGATAAAAAAAGTAGCAGTTAAAATATCAAAAACTCAAACCAACACAATATCGAAATACTATTCAAATATGCATGTACCATTTTTGTGCTGCTATAAATTTATAATTTTGATTACTTTTCTAAGAGAGCCCTTAAAGTTCAAAATTGTCAAATTAGGTCATTCACATCTAATTATGTATCATATTTATTTGCAAATTTTTACATGATGATTAGATTAGTACTAAGATTAAATTAAGAAAAATTATTTTCATAAACATAATAAGTTTATTATTATGAATATATGCAAGATAATAAAAATTCAACGACCAAAACAAAATTTGAATTGTTAATAGTTCAGACAGTCAACACTTTTTAGACATACTTTTTTTGAAAATATTAGTATAAAGTTAATATAAATGATAGGAATTCGCTACATGGTAATATTCTTTTATGTGTGATGAAAAAAATTATCCATTTTATTTTAACCTTCAAACGATCATATTTTAAAAAGCAGTTGATCAGTATTGGTTATTGACTGACACGGTGATATTCTGTGTACGTATTTTGGTTTTTGTAATAACTACCAACAGCTAGGTCAATATTGGTGCTTATTATATGCAGGATCATCGATTTATCATAAATCACTCGTTTACGTGCAAAATATTACAAAATATTTTTAACTAACTCATAAGCAATTTATATTGTAATTTCAATTTCTATTGTACGCACCTAATAAAAATTCATCCAAATATAGAAATGGCGATTATCAATTTTAATGTATTTTTATGTTTGTTTTGTACTATTCTGAATATATTTTCAAGTGGTAACATACATAATTTAAAGTTTATTTAATAGATAATGTTCCAAATTAAAAAAATGGTAGTTTGATACAATTTTTAAAGCAGTATTTTGGAAGATATTAAATCCTTATAAAGATAGGGTCGATCTGGACTAGTGAGTAGAAACGTATGTTTCAATGCACAAGTCCCAGATTCGATCCCCAAGGTGCTAACGAGATTTTTTTTGTGATTTTCTCATTGGTCTTTGGTGCAAGTCAAAATAATACCCGTCCCGTCCATCATTGGTCTAGACAAAAATCATCTTTGACTCCTCGACAAGTAAAAGAGGATGTAAAACTGATCATTTATTTTTTAATTAATTCTTATAAATGATAAAAATATTTAATGAAATTATAAATCGAACATATAATATAAAACATTTATTCAGTAATTTCTATTGTAATTATTGGAGAAATCTAGTTGTCAATGATAAATCATACAACCTGTATGGTAAATCCAAACTAATAATATACCAATAGTTCATAGTTTGGCTATAAAAAAAAACCTATCTTTTTATTGATCAATTAAAAAAGTGCACTTGATAACTTATTGATATAAAAACACAATTCCTGTTCAACTGTTATATTAATTTATAATTTAATAAGAAACAAGCAAAAAACTAGTACAATTTCCTTGACCTTATTAAATTAGTAAAACAATTTAGAAGAAAAATTACCAAAAAAATAATCTTATAAAATAATACAAAATAATCTTTTTTCTTTCGAAAAAAAATTCGAGTGTAGAAATTTTACAATTTATGAAAAGTATTTATCCCCAGCTTATATTAATATTTTTAATTTTTTTTGAGTATTATAATGAAATAGTTGTTTGGACAAAAGAAAATTATTAACAGTTTAATTAAAATAATTGAAAACAGTTTGTTTTTCAATTTTTCTAAATAGATCCTGTTCCATTTCATGATTACTACCAATAAGAAATATTTTCCAAAACTCAATTATTATTTATAATTATTATTATTAGAGAAAAAAATAGTCTTCTATGTTTCTCAACCGTCAGCTCAAAAAATAATAAGACAATAAATTGAGTTTGTTTACATAACTATTGTTCAAGTGATATAATAACACGCATTTTTTTTAGTTTTTAAAGAAAACTATTTTTGATTTTTATAGTGGTGATTTAATTTTACGAAAATATTAAGATGATGTAATTATTATCAAACTGACGGCATTTACAAAATCATAAATTGTAATTATAAGAACTTATGAAATAATGTAAATTTTCTTTTAACTTTTGGGTTTAATTTACAATGTATTGTTACTCATGGCCATAGTAGTCAAAGTTTTAAATAAATAAAAAAATATATATCATAAATTATACTCATGTTCAATATAAATATAATTTTGAATATAATAAAAGATAACTCAAATTGTTATTTTAAAAAGATTTTTAAAAATATTTTTTCAACTCATACAATGACTAATCAACTATTATAGATGTATAACAGTTATACATCTAATAGTTTTTAACAAATTACTCATCAATCATTTTTTTTATAAAAAATTTTATTTAATTGTTTATTTTGATAAAAAAAATTATTGATGAGTAATTTGTTAAAAACTATTCTCAAACCTACTAATTTCAATTTTTATTATAATTAATAATTTCTTTTATAACTTATTGGAAGTAAATATTATCTATACATTTTCTGTATACAAAATATCCTTAAAGACTATTATTAAAAAATATTATTATTATTAAAAATAAACACGTCATGGTGAAATTAATACCTTCTCCTCTTCGTATCAAAACTAAAATTGACTTGCTTATATTATCATTATATTTATTACGTTCATAATAAATAACAATATAATAAAAAACCCAGCACAGGGGGGTCGCGGCACAGTGGTGACGTGACATAGTTGGATCAAGTATAATGATATCTGATAGTGATTAAAATCACTATCAAAAATAAACGCTTCGATGCAAATCTTTAGATAGTGTTTAATTTTAAAAAAATTGGTGTTTTATTCCAAAAGCTACTTGATCTGCTGGTTCCTTATTAATATCTCGATTAAGATAAAGTATGTCGAATGAAAAAGGGTTTATTAAAAAATATTATTTCTCATAAAAAAATTGTGTGGATCCATAAACTTTTCAATAAGTTATAGCATTATAAAGTTAAATATAATATAAATAATAAAATCGAGAATTTTCACACGAAAATAGCATTCGGTAGCCATTTTCGCCGTGAAGACAAGTCCAGAGGTCAAATTTTTTTTTTTCAAATTAAAGTATATTACATTAGCTTTAATTTAAGATATATATAAAAGTGTCAGACCTTCCGGAACATTTTCAAAAGTTAAGTTGAAAAAGTTAATTTTTTGTGAAAAAGTTGTCATTTTAAATCCCCCCCTGTGGGCAGATAAAGGGTCAAATTTACAAAAAAAATATACCAAATGATAGGTAAAGACATCAAGCATCTATATAAAAAAAAATTATATTGATATGTTCATTTTTGAAAAAGTTACGGCAGTTTTTAGTAAAAAAAATTGAAAAAATTTCGAAAATTAGCGATTTTTAAATTTGTAATTTTTTTGGAGGTTTCCCCCATTTACGGGGAACGAGGGAAATTTTTTCAATTTTGAAGGGTAATGTCTTCGACTAGATACGATTTGTGATCTTTTGACGTATCGTTGAAAGAAATCCGTTCGGTGAGAGCTGAGAAAAAGTGGTAACAGACACAAAAAAAAAAAAAAAAAATAAACACATCTTAGTAAAACCAATACCTTCTCAGCTTCGCATCGAAGCTAAAAACATTAGATCATATCATTTAAATGTAACTTTAATCCAATAAATGAAATATTAAATAAAGGTATGCAGCATGTATAGCACCTAAAATTTACAAAATTAACTAATATTTTATGTGAATTGTCATAAAAGTTACATAAAATGAAATTAATTCTATTAAATATTTTCTAATAAATGTTTATATTTCTTTGTACAGAAGGAATTGATTCGAAAAATTCTAAAAATGGTTTTTGGAAGTAAAGAGATCTAAATAAAACAGATACATAAAAATTTATGTCCTGATAAAGATTTATTTTAATTGTAAAAATTACGGAACGTATTCAATTACTGAAATAAAATTATCTATTTTCTCAAGTCTACTCTATTAAACACTGAACTTATTTTTATTATTTAAATTTATGTATTGCATATTTTATAAAAACTTTTTATTACATATTAAGAAGGTCAAAAGTCATTGAACTTGTCGAAACATTAAGAACCACCCTGATCTACATATTGTAGGTGTAGGTCATTATTTTGTAAAACTGAAAGTAAAACATTTTTGTAATGTTTGGTTTAATTGTAATTTCTTGATCTATTGTTACTAAATATAATATAGTCTTTTATTTGTAAAGCTAGAAGTAAAATATTTTTATAATGTTTGGATTAATTGTAATTTCCTGAATTATTGTTACTAGACCAGGAAGTAAATATTAATAAACATTTTTAAAATGATTGTATTATGAATTTTGTAAAAAAAAGAAAATATTTTAGTATATTAGACGAAATGGAATGAATTGAAGGGAGAGAAGCCTTCGGCTGTACCGAAGGTAATCTCTTTTCGCGTTGTATGTTCAAGACATTAAGTTTTCATTTTGTGTATTGTTTTATTGTGTTTTAAGTGTATCTTTATTTTGTATGTTTTACATTGTTTGATTATATTTTTAATAAATACATTTGCGTTATTATTGAACTTTTATTACTATAAGTTAGAACAAAAAGGTTGTTACGTATTTAAATACAACATATGTAAACAAATGTCTGTCCATCTTTTTCTTTGAGTTCAAGTCTATAGATTGGCAATAATAATAAAAAAAATAGTTTAAAGACTAGCACAATATAAGGTGCATAAAAATTGATGATAAGAGGGTACATGCTAGCGATGAAGATGTAGAGAAAAGGCGGAAAGAGTATTTTGAAAAATACTTGAGATGTACAGAAGTATGGAAACTATAGAGGCATAAAGCTTATGAGTCAACATTTGAAGATTTGATAAAAGGATAAATAGATTAAGGAATAAGAGAAGAAACATTAGTAACAAAGAACCAATTTGGTTTGTGGTCATTAATATCAATAATGAAGTCAGTTTTCTGTGCGGGACAAATAATTGAAAAATATAGGAAAAAAAAAGAAAAAGTTGTAAATGGTATTTATAGATTTGGAGAAAACGTATGATAGAGTTCCGAGAGAGGTTTTAAAGAGAGAGGATTAATGAAAAAAAAAGTCCCAAAAAGATACACCAATATAATGTATGTCACTTTTAGCAGGGTAAAAAGTGTTAAACAAATAATCTCTGATTCATTTTAATGTTTACTATTATTTATTAAAAATAGTTAATAAAAATTAATTTGTATCAAAAAGGAACTAAATATAAATAAATCCAAGTGTTGTAATTTTTCAAAGTGACAATAAAACTTATTTCATTTGTCAAAAAACGTGATTTAAGTTTTTTTAATGTTCCCTTAAATCAACAATACTATTATAATATGTATTTTTAGTCATTTGCTTAAATGTGTATACATTTTAAAAATGAAGTATTTTGTTTTTAATAATACATTATGAATAACATGTAATGTCATCGACTATTTCGAAACAAGAAGTAATAAATAAAATATGTATTTTTAAAAACCCATTCATTAATACCATTTTTATTATTTATAGTTATTAAATTTAAAAGGTTAAATTATTTTTATTAGAAATAACATTTTTCTATTTTAAAAATTTATTTATTTTTTAATTACATATTTTATTAGAAATATAAATTTAATTAATTAATTTTAATGATTAAATAAAGTATACTTCTATTTTCTATAAATCCAATTAAAAGATTTTAAAAAAAACCCTATTGACCAGACATAAAATGACACAAAACGTAGAGGGAACTATTAGTCAACTATTTATAGCGTTATATGTATTTGAATAATAACTTATTGTTCGAATAAATGACAGGAGAGGCACTTATAAACAAGGCTCATTATTTACAACAATAAAAAGCGTTTTAATAAGTACTCGAAAATATTATTTTTAGCACTTTAATATGCAATAAAAAAGCCAAATTTTGGAAAAAACAATAAATTAATGTGAATTACATTTTTTTTAAATTACATAATTAAATAATTTCTAAAAAGACATAAAAAAAAGTTGTATTGAGTATTAAGAGCAAAGGCCAAGTTGCAATATACTTATTTAATTTTGATATCCAATAATTTTTTTTCTGGGTCCGCCCGATATTATTTCTAATATTTTTACTGAGACTAACCAAAGATACAGCGGAAAAAAATTAGCAAACATAAAAACTTATTTGATAACTATTTTATTATTCATATGATTCATAAAAATGTTATTTTTTTTTTTAATATTGGCCCCTTCGTTCTGCTAAATTAAGATAATTTAAACAACTGATACTAAGTTTAAAATCAGTGATTATTAAAATAAAATAAATAGAATATTACAAAATTCTTTTATCTCAAAACGAAGGATATTGGTTTAAGACAAGCCAAATTGTTTTTAGGGGATTGATTTTTAAATATTTGTAATATATAGCCGCATACACTACACATTTGTCAAGTGTGGTAAATTTTTAACGAAAATGATAAATAACTCCTATTTTTGAACGGACTGAATAATTTTTTATCATTTATTATAATCTATAAAAAAATATCATATGAATCATGGTTACACTATAATTACTCTAAATGTTATTGTTAATAAATCCAATAACTCTCAATAAATCAATTAAATTTAGAGGTTAAACATGCATTTTAATTATTCGCGAAAGTTGGATATAATGAATTATTTTAATTTTAATTTTGGTTTTATTTTTATTTGTTTTATGATAAATAAATAGAAATTTTTATATTTACTCAACTAAATAATAGATATGCAGGGATAGATTTGACGGAGGGTTTTAAGGAAATATGTCTGGTGACACGCATTTTTGAACCCACAGACGTCAATTGAAAAAAAAATTCAATCTCTTTAACGTTTTAATGATCATTGCTAAACATAAATGTAACTAGGAAAGAGGGGCTTAGCCAACCCTTTTAAAGGCTGATAGAAATACATTAAGCTCTCTTAGAAATATTACTTTAGTTGCACCTATGCCGCAACCATCGATACCGTTTTGTGGATTAAATACTCTAATTTTAATGCTAGTCACTTAATTATTATCAAAATCAGTATAAATATAGTATTTCTTAAACATAAAATATAATATAATGTACATAGATAGCTGTAATTGAGAGGAGTTGTGGGCTCAATCATAGGTTATAATTTTTTTATGGAATCAAATTATATGGAAAATACTGGGATAGGGTTTTTTGTATACACCCTATCCCATAAATTGTCCATACCTCACCACTGTGCAAACACCTTAAAATTGCAGTGAGTTGCTTAAATCGATTATACACTCCAATAATTTCTTTTGCTAGTAAATAAAAACTTAAAAATAAATATATTTTTTTATATTGTAGTAAACTTGATAAATGTATAAAATGTTCAAATAATAATTTTATGAAGTATTACTAAAGAAAAAATTAAATGTTATTTTAACAGCTTTACGCGACGTTAAAATTTAACCTTGGACATTTTATGATTTACTGAAGTAAGTTATACTAAAAGAAAAACTGCTCAAACAATTCTAAAAATTACACTTTTGGCAAAATATAGTTTTCAAAATATTGTTCTCTAAAATATCTTCAAAACTATTTCACTGTACTGAAGTAGCATTTAAACTTTGAAATATGCAAAAATATAGGACATAAAGGTTCACATAGAATTTATTGGTACCCCGAAACAAATTTATAGCTTACGTAGGTTCCCTAAGACCATTCAAAAAGAAAAAAAAATTAAACGATTTGAGTTATGAGCCCTACTAAATAAGCATTCATTGCTGAAATTCAAAATTTTTCCTGAAGTGGACAGCAATGTTCATTGACTATACGATATTATATTGGTTCCTATTGACTGTTTTATTTTTATTTATTGAATAATACGTCACGTAATGTGCGTTTATGATTTATTATTTGATTAACATATTATTTCAAAAATATCTCGCTTATCAATAAACATTTGAGTATTATTTACGCAGGTCAATTCGATAACGTTAACTATCATAATTTATGGTTTTTCTACTCGGCGATTAGTCGTAAAAAACTGGAATTAAGTTATGTATATAAAAGAAACCCAGCCGGTGGCTTTGCACCATAGTGAGT